CCAACAACCACAACAACACCAACACCAACACCACCACCACCACCACCACCACCACCAACAACACCAACACCAACACCAACAACACCAACACCAACACCAACACCAACACCAACACCAACACCAACGACAACAACAACAACAACAACAACAACAACAACAACAACAACAACAACCACACCAACCACACCAACCACACCAACCACAACCACAACCACAACCACAACCACAACAACAACCACAACAACAACCACAACAACAACCACAACCACAACAACCACAACAACAACATAAACATGAATTCCACCACTTTTGGCACCAACGACAACAACAATAAACACAAAACTGTTAATACAGAAAATAACACGCCCTCAACCCGAAGCATTGCCATCCAAGCGACAGCACGCAGCTCGCCCAGTGCTCTGCGCAGAGCCTCCCGCGAGACTTCCAAGAACTCAGGAACGGAAGGGAGCACCTGGCTCATGGACGTTTTGGTTTTATGTCTTTGGGATTTCTCGCTTCATGTTTTCCAATGCCTGCACTTACTTATCAGCCTCAGGTTTGGGGTTTCGGCACTCGCACTCAGACGGTCCAAGCTTGGGGTTTGGCCTTTTCGTGCTTTTGGGTGGTTTTTGCCCTCCTGCCTGGCAAGGTCGTTACTGTAGGGTCTGGGGCTTGGGGTTAGGAGGTTCAGCGGTTTGGGGTTTGGGCGTTTAGGGTTTCTTGTTAGTCTGGGGCTTGTGGGGCTTGCGGTTGTTGGCTAGTCTAGCAGAGTCAGGTAGAGTTGGAGGTTTGTGCTTTCACGATTGGGTCCTTGTCAGATAAGGAGGTCTTGCTGTCTTGGCGTTTTATCAGATAACCTACGTTCATCTTATGTGTGTGTTCAATTGTTGAGTGTATATATCATCAAAACTGTCTCGTGCTGTAGAGCCCCTCTACTGACAGGGCTTGTGGCTTAGGCTTCAGCACTTGGCAGGGGCCAGTGTCGGGCTTAAGGGTTCCTTACCCAAGCCCGCCTACAAGCCCTAAGCCCTAAGCCCTAAAACCCCCGAAAAAAAAACCCTAAACCCTTTTGAAACTAGGATTGATAACGACCCTAAGCCCCAAAGGGTTTCGGGGTTCCCTACCCAAGCCCTATAAGCCCTAAACCGTGTTGAAACTAGGATTGATAACGACCCTGCGCTTCGATTCCTTGGGCCCAAGAACCCGTTAAGCTCCCCTGAACCCTAAACCCCTACAAGCCCCAAAGCCCACAAAACCGTAAACCCTGAACCCTAAACCCCTAAACCCCTAAACCTCTAAACCCTGAACCCTAAACCTCTAAACCCCAAAACCAGAACCCCTTAACCCCAAAACCAGGACCCTAAACCCCTGAACCCTAAAACTCTAGACCCAGAAACCCTGAACCCTGAAGCCCTGTAAACCCTAAGAGCCCCTCAAGCTCCCCTGCTCCAAGCGTGGCCCTGCCGCGGATTCGGCCAAAACGTCAAGGCTCTGGGCTCGCAGCTCGGCGACCGGGACCTCTACGACCTCGCAGCTGCTGTGGGAAACCGCTACACACTCTAAGGACTTTTGGGTTTAGGGCTGCAACAAAAAAATTAAAAAAAACTTATATCCGCTAGTTTGGGGTTTAGGATTGTAAAAAAGTTATCCGCTATGAGCTCTAAGCCCTGAAACCCCAGTTCTGAGTCCCCGAGAACCCTAGACATCCGAACCTCCAAACCCGAGTCTTGATGTTTAGGGTTTAGGGTTAGTAGAGTGGGCGTTTGGGACTTCGAGCATAGGACATAGGATTCTCGATTGGACATCTGGACGGCCCCGATTTGGCAAGCGCCTCGTACTTCAGAACATTGCATCGAAATAACAATTTATTGTGCAGTACCAATCGTCCTTATCAGCTGGCACTGCTGGGATAGTCACCTGTCACACCTCTACTTGACACAGGAAAAGCCTACAAAATACTAAGATGTACTAAGTTACCTAGAAAGAATACAGCAGGACGTCAAGGAGCAGCAGGTGCCCTAAACGCTGGGCTCATAGGTTATGTTATGAACTACAACAATGACTAGCCGCCAAGAAACGTCCAGTTGGTTCCAGGTATGCTGGATCCCCTTACCGAGCCCTTGAAGCCCTTTTGCATCCAGGCCTATTGCAACTGCCGGGTACCCCTGAAAGGAAAGAAAACTCTTTAAAGCCCTAAAGCCATAAACCCGAAATCTTAAAGATACCCTTTTGTGGACCTCTGCAGGAACCTAGGGATCTGTAGAGTTGGAGCTTTAGGCTTTCATGGCACGTTTCCTGGGCCAAACAGAAAGGCCGAATAGTAGGATCCTTGCTATAAGGTTACATGAACTTCATGCACGACCCCCAAATGACCCCGCACAAAATTAAAAACACCTTTGGACCCTTGGTAAAAAGCCCACCCCCCCAAAAAAAAGAGCAAATAATAATAATAATAATAATAATAAGGATAAGGATAATAACAATAATAATAAAATAACAACCGCTCTGGGTCCGAGCTTCTGTCCGCTCCCTTTCGGTCACAGTCTCTTCGCTGGCGTAGAAAACCTCAGAGACCCCGGAGAGGATGGGAATATGGTTTAGGGCTTAGGGTTTTAGGGTTTAGGGTTTAGGGTTTAGGGTTTAGGGCTTAGGGTTTTAGGGTTTAGGGTTTAGGGTCTGCGAGACTCTTAAGGACTTGAGGAACCTGTCACACAAAAGCATCTGGGGAACATGGGGGAACATGGTGCAAAACATGTGCCTATCCGACCCACCTCTTCCAGGAACATTTGACAGCATCACGCAGCATCTTGGTTTCGTTCAGCAAGGCATAAAAGCTCTTTGTGGGGTATCCACAATTATTGAACTTTCTGGCCTTTAACAGCCGTCTCACCGTGCGATTCCACGACGCATCAGCCCTTGCAATGTTCTGGCGACCACGCGAGAACTGGAGTTTTCCACCCAACCCAAGCTAACTTCACGAACTGCCTCCAGCGCCAAACCCGGTAAAGGATTTTTTTGTGTTCGCGCACTTTAAGTTGCAGTGAAGCAAGGGTTTGGGGTGTAGGGTTACCCTAAACCCGCTAGCCCCCAAAACCTAAAGCTCCTAAAGGCCTAAACTAAACTCTTAAAGGTTTCGGGCTCAGGGCGTCGTCAAAGTCCGAGGCACCAGGGCACCCGAAGGATCCACGTCGATGCGCTGTACGCTGCGCCGGGCCATTGCACCGACACCCGTGGCTTTCTGGGGGGAGCCTCCTTTCCCAAAGGGTCCTATGTACTGTTATGGGGATACTTCCCTAAATCATAATAGTAATTCCAAATATAGAAACCCTACATTCTGCGATATCGGTACTTTGGACCCTTTGGGTTTAAGAGTTCCGACTTAGGGTGCCTTTAAAGTAACCATAAAGGTTCCCGTAAGGGTTCCTATAAGGGCTCCCTCAAGGGTTCTTCGAGGCCAGAGACCCGAGCGCCCTCGCAGCCCCGAAAGACTCGACAAAGCTGACAAAGCTGAGACTGCAGAGCACAAATCAAAGTAAAAAGGCAGACCGCAAGTGAAAGTTCAAGGATGCTGAGAGGTTCGGTGCAACGCCTAGCAATGCTGAGGATGATGATGATGATGATGATGCCACCGCAGATGGGTCAGTCAGGTCTTGCGGTGCCATGCGGTAACTAACTAGAGGGAGGGCGGTGGTGATGGTGGTGCTGGTGGCGGTGGTTGCAGTGGTGGTGATGGTGGCGATGGTGGTTCACTATGGTCTGTTGTGGTGGCTCCGATGCCGCTAATGCTGTCAGTGGTGAGCTGGCAGTGGCGTGAATGCGGATACCAGTTCGAGGCTTAAGAAAGACGACTCCCACTAAAGCACACACGCCGAGATATCTATCTATCTATCTATACATACATACATACATACATACATACATACATACATACTACCCTAAACCCTCAAAGCGAGACCGTAAACCTACTACAGCCACACAGATGACTCCTCTCTGCCTGGAGTTGCTCCTTGGCTTTGGAGACCTCCTGCACCGCTTTCCTGGAGCAGCAACCCTAAGCCCTAAACCCTAAGCCCTAAACCCTTAACCCAAAGCCCTAAACCCTAAACCCAAATCCCTAAACCCTAAGCCCTAATCCCTAAACCCTAAGCCCTAATCCCTAAACCCTAAGCCCTAATCCCTAAACCCTAATCCCTAAACCCTAATCCCTAAACCGTAAGCCCCAAACCCGTGAGGGCAGGTGGAGGACAAATGCTTGACTCTTGCTTGGACAATCCGAGCAAGGCACGAAGGACTACCTGTGGCCAACAAGGACCTACCTTAAGGAACTAGGTGGGTGGTTGTCAAAATTATGGTCCCTTTTTGGGTCATTATTATAATACGGCACCTATTTTTTAGGGTACCCCAAAAGGGACCATAATTTTGATAACTACCCAGGTATAGAAGCCATAGTAAAGAACCCCAAACTGTAAAGAAACCATCATAAAGAGCCCCAAAAGATACAGAAACCATCATAAGGAACCCCAAAAGGTATAGAAATCATAATAAGGGACCCCAAAAGGTACAGAGACCCTAATAAGAAACCCCAAAAGGTACAGAAGCCATAATAAGGGACCCTGAAAGGTATAGAATTCAGGCTGGGGGTTGGTGGCAACATGTACTCAGCCTTCTACGGCGAGTCAAGAAGTGGAAAGCTCTTAGGGTGTAGGGCCACGGTTTAGAATTTAGGGTTTAGGGTTTAGGTGTTTTTTTTGGGTTTAAGGCAAACTGAACATTCCTATTCAACGACGAGATCGCCGCACCAAAGACTGAAACATGAACAACACACACACACACACACTCGCACACTCTCGCCACCTCTCTCTCTCTCTCTATAATGTATATATATATATATGTATGTATATATATATATATATATATGTGCATATCTCATAAGAGCAAAATATGAAAACAACAACAGTAATAACAATACATGGTTTCTATTTGGCTGGGCATATGTCTACGTTATATGTAAGGAGTTCCATGGTCCCAGCTCTTCTTGTCGAACAATGACGTTGCAAAAGGCAGCCTGTGCCCAAAGTCTGAAGGCTGCACAGCAGCCAACTCCCAATACATAAGTCTAGACTAAACCCTATATAAACTTAACCCCGAACCCTGCAACCGAAAGCCCCACAACCCTTTACCCTGCACTAACCCTGCATGTCCTCTATAGCCTACATAAACGATTCTGCCCTAAACCCGAAAGATGCTCGGCCTCTCGGCCACCTCCCCCCAGCTTGGCAGCAAGTCCTTAGCCAGGCTCGGTCTATGAGAAGGTCTTTTCTGATGAGGGTGCCGCCTTCTTTGGGCTACTAAAAAGGAAACCTAATGTAGAGAGCTACCCCACAGCGAGCTCGAAGGTTCGAAGGACCACGGGATTTCTTCACAAATCCAGCCCGAAACCTTAGAACCGTATCCCCAAAAATCGACTTACTTCTAAAGGCCAAGCCCGAAACGCTAAAATCCCTAAGGCCTTGTTCCCAAAGCGCCTAAACACATTCCGCACCCTTGTCCCCCCATCGAAAGCTTCAGATTCAGGCTTCCAAGGGCTGGGTCGGGTTTACACTTCTCCACTTGAAGTGTCATCAAGAAGAATTGGGTTCCTGTAAAGGGTGACTTGAAGGGTTCTATTGTAGTTATATTCAGGAACCCTAGGGAACAGTGGTTATACAAGAATCCGGGATGTTTGGCTTTACTAGCAGGACCACATTGGGATGCTAAGAATCGTTAAAGACCTGCAGGTAGGGTTAAACACATGTCGCTTTCCGGTTTTCAGGCTCGCAGAGTGGCGGACCAAGGTGTTTGCAAGGATACCTCAATTCTTAGGACTCTAATTGCTTTGGTAGCATGACAAGCTTGGGCGCTCGAAACGACCATGTTCTGAAGATCATGTTCCCCTACCTTGAACTAGGAGCCTGCCTTTTTTGGACGGTTTAGGGTTTAGGGTTTAGGGTAGCGTTTATACGATAAAGGAGACCTCACTGTGCGCGTGCGTCGCAGAGCTGGGAGCTTTGCTCGCCAACCCGGAGGGCTTCATAAGTAAACCTTAGACAGGCTGGTGGTCTCTTTATCTGTTCTTTATACTACCTAATATAGCTAACATACATAGACATAGTATAATAAGGATCCCTGTATACAGCCACTTCAAACTGAAACCCAAAGTAAAGAGACCACCGTCCTGTACTGGGTATCAAGTAAACCCGAGACCCTAAACCGCTAACCCCGAAGAAAGGTCCAAGGCATATCGGGTAGTTCTCTAAATTAGGGTCCCTTTTTGGGTACCCTAAACAATAGGCGCCGTATTATAATAAGGACCCAAAAAGGGACCATCATTTTGACAACCACCCATATCTTGAAACAGGACGTGAGTCTGGAAACCCGAAAAGTAACGGCTAAGACAGCGGCTAAGACACACCCTCACCGCCCTTAAAATTGTAGAAACACTTCTTGCGCTTCTTGAACGTTGTGGAGGCCTTCTGCAGCTCATTCTAAAGGCCCGAAATTCCTCATCCCTTCTATCGGACCTCTTACCTTCAAGGAACCCTTCAACGCCCGTAAACTCTCTGCTTGAACCACCAGGCCAACAAAAACTTCAAATTTTTAGGATAGGCCTGATGCATAAGGCCAAAAAATCGAAGTTCTCCCATTGGCTACCGAAGTAAAGCATAAGGCACAAAAGTTAAGAGCTTTCCCATTGGCCCGGCTACCTAAGTAAAGTGCCCCAAGCCATCCGAGCCTCCACAGCCTCGAAGAACTGGCGACCTTTGATCGGGGCTTGGGTTTTGTCCCTCTGGGTTTAGGGTTTAGGGTTTAGGGTTTCGGGGCTTGGGTTTAGGGTTCAGGGTTGAGGGGTTGAGGGGTTTAGAGGTTTAGGATGCTTTTAAAGCACCTCTTTTGATATCCGCAGAAGCCTCCAGCAGCAAAGTTTAGGGTTTAGGGTTTAGGGGTTTTGCCTGTTCCAAAGGGACCTTGAATCCACGATTCCAGGCTGTAAGCTCTAGGTACTTTCGGATTCTTCTCAGGTGTGTCGGGTGAAGATCTGGTGGGTTTAGAACTCCGGGCGCGGGGCCCATAGCATTTTGGGTTTCGACTCTCACTCTCGCACGCAGCAGGCAAGGCTCCTTTGGGTTTAGGGTTTAGCGGTTTAGGGTCTAGGGCAACCATCAGCAGATCCATCGAGACATGGTAACAGCAATGCACTTGGGCGACCAATCCGAAACAAACTTCAATGCACTGAAAGGGCCCACGATGGTAGCGTTTCAGGGCTCCCTTTTTTGAACCCAGACTCTGCCAATCAGCTGGGAACAGTTGTTTTTGGTTGGGGGGCTAATGTAAATTAGAATAGGGTTTTGGGGCCCATTACACTCTAACCATGATAAGGAACCCCCAAAACCCTATTCTGATTCTTAAGGCCCTTGCATTATTCGAGTAGCTCTCCAATGAGGGTCCCCCTTTGTGGTCTCCAGCACCCTTAGCAAAAGGACTCTTACAGGGATCTGAATTTAGAGAAGTACCATTAGGGTATAGGATGGGAAGAACCATCCTCATATCGCAAGTTATCGAAGCTTCAACAACTACCATTATTAACCCCTAGCGTTCCTTAATATAGTCATAGTTCACTATACCCCGCAAAACCCTAGTCTAATTATTAAGGTCCTATATCCCCCTCCTAAATCCGAAGCACCTAAACCCTAAACCCTAAATCCGAAGCACTGAGACCTAAACTCTGGTTCACCTGACACCGACCTAGGCTTCAGGGGTTCAGGTGTAAGGTCTTCCGCGGGCTTCATTTAGGGGTTTCCGAAAATAGGGGACCCTAATATAGTACCCTAAATAGTAGGATCCTTAATATAAGGACCCCAAAATAAGGTACCCCTTATTTTCGGAAAGTCCCAATTAGAATAGGGCATAGGGTTTTGGTGCCCATTATACTATAGTTATAGCTACCAAAATAGTATTAGTACTTATTGAGGCCCCTACATTTGTTTTTGGGCTTGGGTGTTTACGATTAGGTTTCAAGGTTTGTGCAGTTTGCCTTGGTTTTGGGGTTTAGCTTAGGGTTTAGGGGTGGGGACTCCCCCGAACACAGGGCGCTGCACTTCTGCCCTAGAGGCCAGGGCCCTGCTTAGCATGTGTGTCTCGGGGCTTGAGGATCCAACCCAACCTCTGCTGATCAAACCC